GTATCCTTCGGCGTCGCGCTCGCGCACGGGGTTGCTGAAGAGGCTCGCGTGTTTGTGGGACAGGATGTCGTTCATGACTGGGTTGCTGAGGCGCGGGAAGTTGCGCATTATGAGCACGTTGTTGGGCTTTTTGGTTGGGGGGCCGGTGGGCTCGGTTTCGGCGGAGGCGGTGGGGACGGCGGTGGGGGCTTCGCGTGTTTCGCTGGCTTCGCTCGCAGCCCGGCCGCGCTTGCGCTTCGTGCCTTTCGTCTTCGCCGGTACTTCCGCTTCCGCTTCTGGTGCGGCTTCTTCCGCGCGTTCCTCCTTCATCACCGCATCCACCGACATGACGCTCTGACTCCGCGCCCGCACACTCCGGCTACGCGTCCGCGTCTGCCTCACCGGCTCAGCAACGAGCGGCTCGCCCACCGGCACGCTAACAGTGGTACTAGCCCCACGGCCACGTCCCCGTCCTCGTCCACGACCTCTCCCACGGGTAACGACCGGCGGAGGCGCCGCAATTTCAGGCGGCGGCGCATGTGCCTCATCCTTGCCTCTGCCGCGGCCACGGCCCCGTCCACGCCCGCCGCGCTTCGCGGGTGCTGCTTTCTCGGCTGAGCTCGGTGGCTGGCTGGCGCTGGGGCGGACTTCCGGAGACGCCGGCGTATGAATTTTTGCAGGGGCCTTCGCGGGAGTGGGGCGCGGGGGCGGGGTGATCGGGCTGACGCTGCGAGCCCGAGCGTGACCAGGCGCAGGACGCTGCACGGGGGTCAGTGTGGGCGGCGCGGAGTGCCAGCGCGTGAAGGGGATGCGGCGAAGAGCAGGTGTGCCTGGTTTCTGGGCGGTGAGGAGGGCCACGATGTCCTGCAGATTGAACTGAACGGGGACGCGCGGCCGAGGGGCTTCCACTGGGTGCGGCAGGATCTGAGGCGGCATGCGGGGTGGCGCTTGCTGGGCTGGAAGCTGCACTTGGACTTGGGGATGGGGTTGGATATGTTGTGGCTGTGGTTGGATAGGCTGGGCCTGGGGCTGAGGCTGAATAGCTTGTGGCGGCCTCGCCACGATGGGTTGTTGCGGCGTGACTTGGAAAGGCTGTAGCATAACGCCGCCGCCGCGAGAGTATGGCTGGGGAGCCACGGGATGGCCTTGCGGTGTGGTGTAGCTCGGATGTGGTACGAAAGCATATGGAGGGGGTGCTGTAGGCGGCTGCTGGGGAGTAAATGGAGATTGAGGTGCTGAGCGTCCCGCGTGCGGGCTAGGATACTGATAGGGATGCGGTTGGAACTGAACGCCTTGGACTGAAGGGACGGGAGGAGGAGGCATTCCAGGAGATGGGGTCGGTCGACCCGCAGGCTGGATGCTCTGTGGACGCGGAGTCGTGTTCACGGGAGGGGGTGTGGGTTGGGCATATGGAGACTGGCGCACCTGAGGGATGGCGGGAGTGGTCGTCCGGTATGGCGAGGTGGCCGGCTGAGAAATGAGATGGCGAGGAGATGCAGGTGGAGCCTGTAGAGGCTCAGGAGCTGGTGTTGTTGGTGTCGCTGGTATGGGCGCGGGCGAGGGAACAGCGACAGGGATGGTAGACGGAACAGCGACAGGTATGGTAGACGGAACGGGCTGCTGTACGGGCTGAGGTCCCGCCTGCTGCGCCGCTTGCTGTATAGGCTGTACAGGCGTCTGCGCCGGAGTCTCTTCCTCGGGCTTCCTGGGTGACGGGACCGGCGGCGCATCCGTCATGACGGTATCCTGCGGCTCCACGCGCTTGACCACCTCATCCCAAACCCCGCGCTCAATTTCACGCTGCAGTCGCTCATCCCACAAGCCGCTCGCAATCTCCCGCACCTCGGCCTGCAGTATCTCGAACCGACGCTCATCCTCTCGGATCTCGATCACGGCGTGCTCGCGGTAACGCGCGTACAATTTGACGACGAGCTGCGGAATGAGGTGCTGGTTATTAATGGCGTCCTGAATGGACGGCAGACTAGGCGACGGAGCCTTGCGTTTACGCGAGTCGTCCTTCGTATCATGGGGCGCGGCATTCTCGCTGCGCGCCTCATCCTTGAGCAGACGCGCGAAGAAGTCGCGAAGGGAATCGGGACTCAAGCGACCCAGATCAAACGTCGAGCCCTGGCGGATGAGCACATCATTCTTGAGCAAGTCCGATATCTTGGTAAATACGGCCGTTGACACGCCATATGTCGAGAGATACTGGAAGAGCAATAGTGCTTCCAGCGGCGTGTAGGCGGTCATGGCCCAGTGGAGGGCGCGAAGGGCGGAGACGCGGACAGAAGGAACCAGGAACGCCAGAGCTGCGGTTGGCACGGGGTGGGTTCTAGGGCATTGTGGGTGGGCCGAAGCTTTGAAAGGAGGGTATACGGCTGAAAGCTGATGAGAGCTGATGGATTGTTGATGGGGTGAGGGGGGAGTTGCGATGGGTTGAAGATGCCGAAGTCGTTGATGTGACAATTTTTGGGAACGAGCGAATTTGTGCCTTAGGCATAGATTCTTTGATCAGGCAGCAATTCAGCTCGCGTCTCAGGCACCAGCTTCGGGCAGCAAGGTGTCATCGCCAAGTCTGGGGGGTAGGGGTTCGTAGACAATGACTGGCTGGAAGGAATAGGGGATGGGAGATGGAGCTACGGCTAGGGTCTATTGAGCAATTAGGATTCGAGGGAAAGACGGAGAGATATCGCTCGGTTATTTGCGGGGAGATTCACACCAAGGAGAAGACATAAAGGAGAGATAACTGTTCATTCTGCCCTCTGGTGCTGCCTCTATCTCGGTGCCCTGTCTCCTCCAGCCTTCGCTTCCCATTCCTTCACCAGCATTCTTCAGTTCGCATTTCTCCCTCTTCCGATCCAATATTCACGACAGCCTCGCGCCATCCTAAGCATTATAGCCAAGCAAGCCAAAAAGCAAAGCCACACGGTAAACGTCTTCAACTCCACTCAAAAGCAGGGGCCAATCTCCGGCCTCAGCCCTTCCTCTTCTCCACAGGCCCCTTCCAGTTTCGTCTCCTCCACACACAAGACGAACAGCGCTGCATCTCGTGGCTCGTCCAATTCAACCTCGACTCTGCCCGTCAACCCTCTCCACGAACCCCGAAAAATCCGCCCTATCCTCGCCCTCAACCCAGCTCCGCGAGCTCCCTTTCTCCCCTATTCTGGATACCTTGCCACATCTCCTCCCGCATTAATACCGCTCCAGCCCCAAGAGCGCAACCCTGGGTGCTTCCCTGTCCCACATCCTACCCTTCACCGCACTCCCGGTCTGCCTCATCCCGGCCCTCATCGCAATCCCAGGCAGCCTTCTGCCTTATCAATCCGCATATCCGCCTCAGCGCGCCCGTAATTTGGCACCGCAAGCAGCAGCACCGTCTACATAAAACATGGCAGAAGTCCCGGGCCGGTGGCGGGGCGGCCACAGACGTGTTCAGTCGTATTCCTCTCTCTCCCCGCAACCTCGTTCCATACTCACTCGCCCAGCATGATGGCCCAGCGCTTCTCCGCCCAGCTAGATGATGTCTTCAAGATCGACAACGGGCTTGACAATCTCGTGCAGACGGTCGAGCGCAAGTACGTGGCCGGTCTTCTCGTCTTTTCGTCGCAGCTGCTAACCCCTCAGGCGCCAATCCGTCTTCATCCAATCGCGCGAGCTCCTCGAGCTGCAAGCTCGCCTTCGCGATACTAAAACCATCCTGAAGGAGTCGACACCCGAAGACGCTCCGGAATCGGACAGCGAGAGCGAATCTGATGAGGAGGAAAAGCCTGCATCTACTATTCCGCTTGATAAGCTCTTCGAGACCGAAACCGCGCGCGCCACCACCCTGGAGAACCTAACCGGCGAACGTACGCCGCGCTGTGGAAGCGCCAGTGCGACGAGCGGTGCCGGCAGCGCAAGCAGCGAGGGTAGCGCCACGCCCGTTTCGACGGTGAGCAGCCACGAGTACGTTCTTGTGCATCGGCCGCGGCCGGTGCGGAGGCGGGTGTTGGCGGACGAGCAGGAGGAAGAGGAGGACGAAGAAGAAGAAGAAGAGGACGACGACGACGACGAAGAGGAGGAAGATTCCTCCGAAGACTCAAGCTCCGAAGACAGCGAGTAGAGATGGGTTCCTTTGCATTTCCCGGTGTTGCGTTGTTGGCGCCTGCCTAGCCTGTGGTTGGGCCTGTTTGGGGATTGCATTGGGAGGACGAACGAGAGCCACGTTGTCCGCAGTCATGACCTGGAGGAGCCGTTTTGCCTACCCTTTTTTTTGCGCTTGCAAGCCGGGTGAGATGGCGAGATGTACGGTTGTTTTAATGCGGTGTTGGGGAGTGGAGCTCTCCCGCCTTTTCTTGTTTCAGTCCGCCCTGTTCATATACCCCCACGATCGTTGGTTCGCGTGTTTTGGAAGAGGAAACACTTTGCACATGGGGCTTGGAGTACATAGGCTGGAGTTTGATTGAATCTCGTCTTTGAAGTGCTACGTACCGATGTGAGGGAAGTGTGGTCGTGCTGTACTGTGGGGGCAGTGCGGGGTTGGGCCCTGAACCGCACGGCCTAGGTCCCCGAGTGCCCGACCCGAGTCAGATGGTAACTTTATTTCGACGGCGGGCGGCCGTGATGCTTGATTGCTTGACATTTGCCAAGGCTATGGACCCATGTGCTGGTGAGAGATGAAGACGATCAGAGGAAGGATTAAGTGAGACGTGAGGGAACATTCTTGTGGATGGGATGCGGGAGAGGTGACACGACTGCGGACTGCGGACTGTGGAGCGGGAGGATTGTTGTGTCACAATGACGTTGAGATGGGACTACATCTGATAACCTCAAGCTGGATTTGGTATCAGGTCTGTGTCGTGCTCGTTAAAAAAGTTCTAGCGCAGCAGTTGAGTCCACAGCATTTTTCATGAACCCTTGAGAAACACACTCCGACCGTCAGACTTCCCGACAGCCTCGTCTTTAAACCATCGCATATACCGTGACACGGTTCCTCCAGGAACTCCCTTTGTGGGCCAAAAAAAAGGCAAAAAAGAAAATCCTCTGACCTCCCAGAATCGAACTGGGGACTTTCCGGTTTACAAGGTGATACCATTACAGCCGGACGCCATAACCAACTAGACTAAGGTCAGTCACTTGGATGCCCTGAAGTGTCCAAAAACAAAATACATACAGAGAATGGGTAAAACCAGGACGAGGTGAGTGCACGCGAACAGGAGGGCCTGTTTACTTGCTGGTGTTTGGTACGGATAGGGGCGAGTTTGTGCCGGCTGGAGTTCATTGCTTTTATGCAAGCTTGATTGAGTTGACGGGAGATGGCAAGCGGGTTACCGATCCGACAATCCGTTCAAAGAACTCAGCCTTGTCGCATACGCCCAGCAGCCGGCTTTCAAACATACAAACTTCTCACCACATCCGGGACCAGTCTTTAAATACCCTCATCGCAGCACCCTATGCACCGTTCTGGCCCTATATATCAGCCTTCCACTGGTAATATTTGGCGCCCCGGTGCCATTCCTTCCACTTCCTGGGAAATTCAATATCTTGTACATCCGTATATCGTTCAAGCGGACTCTGACCTCACACCTTCTAGTCTTGCCCTCCCATATCTCTCGCGTGCCGGAGAGGGTGTATTCATTTAAGTTTTGCTCCTAAATTCAGTCGTATATATGCGCCAGGACGCATCTATCAACACACTCAAGCGCTCCCGTCCCCGGAAATGCATCACCGAGGCAAGTTGGTGGCCAGTGTTCGTATCTCAGAACAGGATCTCCATCGTGCAGGGCTACAGGGAGCATGGCTCGCGTTCCTGGGTCTGAGCACACCCGCCCCGTGAGACGTTACCAAAACTAATATGAAATATAGACGTGGCCGATCCGCGAACGTCCTTGACAACAACGTCAGCAACGGTTGACCCGACTGATTGGCCCATCCTGTGCCTTCTGCTCTCCGTCGGGCAACCCTGTCTACAAGAACCTGGCCCTCTTCTCCAACTGCTTGTGTACGGCCGGTCAATGCCGGGTTGCCGAATACCGGAGACACATGCAGTGAGAATAATTCGCTCCCCGGAGGCGGACAAGGAGTCGTGGCAGCCTCGATAACATCAAGGCCTCAATTCGAGAGCCAACAGACCCAGTTGGGGCACCTTCTTCGCTTCACACCTGAACGCCATCGAAGGAATGCCGTTAACCCAGCACAGACGTCGGTCATGGCCTCGCCCTTGGAGGCTCGATCTCAATCAGAGTTATTTTCAAGGCGCCACAGAAGAAGTTCCGGTTGTTGCGAGCTGGGTAGGAACTCATGGATACGCTGGATTGCAAGGATGATGTGTGGAGTTGTAAGTGCCCCTTCATTCGCACCTCGGATCAATCCGATTCGGGGGTCTGTGGGACCAGGCTTACGATCAGTACAAGCGGTTGCGGCATATCCTTCCGAATGGATCCTGGAGGACCAGATCAAATGAATCTTGAGTGAGTGCTCGGTCGGTCGAAGCGGCACCGCAGCAGTTCGACTACGTCCGCCTTGTCACAGAGGAGCAAGGGCCCGCCTTCAGGGGACTACCGGCCGCCCCCAACAAGAAGAAGCGGACATTCGGCCCTGCTCGCCGGACGGCCCCCGAGTATGGGCTGTCCTGGTGCTTCGCTGGTGTCTTCCTGGCACTACCTTTCCATTATCCGATACCTTGGTCGTTCACATAATGGACCTCGTCGAGGATTCCCTATGGCCGAGCGTCGAAAGCCTCCGCTAGTCTACCGTTACAAGCATCCGCCTTTGATGCTCGATGGCATTTAAAGACCTGGGATTTCATCGTTGACTTCCTGTCAGTACGGTTTCCCGCGTCAGAGAACCAGAGACGATCAAGTCGAAGGGACGACCAATAGGGACCACGAACGCCGATTTGGCGCGTACAACACAAGAACTTCGAAGACTTTCAGTAGGAGATCTTGTGACGGATCCTATCATTCTTGACGCTCCAGAGGATATTGTAGAGGTGATCAATAGCAATAACCCCTCGAGGCTTCCGACTTCGACTTTGTGTTTCCCGAAACACTTCTCAACACTTCCGCCAGGCACATCAAAGTCCACTGCCACCATGTTGTCCGCACAAAAGATTGACGGTACTGCTATAGCGTGAGCTCGTTATCACCCTCCCCTCGGAGTTCACCGACTTTGTGGATGCGAATGCGACCAAGGGCATTCGCGAAAAGATTCACGCGCATATAGAGCAGAAGAAGCAGACCAACCTCGGTGATGAGGGGAACGGAGTATGCGCGAGCTCTTGAGCCTCCAGCGTATCGCCAACTTGCTGGATCTTAAGACTCCTCTGCAGGACCTCTTCAAAATCCGCCAGATGGTGATCTCGCGTCTTCAGCAGCCGGATTGAAGCTGACGAACTAGTTCGCCCATAAGTTGTGACAGGTCGCCTACAAGCCCGAATCATGACGGGTTCGAGTACCTCACGTCGCCCGTCAAGGCGCTGCTCAGCCTTGAGTCCTGCCTTGACATGCTACTTCCCATTGACTCCAGACACGTTTTGAAGGTAACAAGGCAGCACATGGGATGTCGAGGAAGAAGATATAGTGGTCGATGCGCAGAGGAAGCTGTGAAGCACTGAGAGGCCGGCTGAAAAATGCGAGGCTACGGATTCGGTTCGCAATCAAGTCCGCTTATTGGCCTTTTCTGATGTGGTTCGTCGGTGGCGGAGAAGTGGCGAAATATGACCAAAAGACAGAATCCAAGTTCGTTGCCTTGGCCTGGTGCTCTGATGGCCATTGGCCTGATCTGTACCTTTCAGTACGTACCTTTGGGCATATTCGTTCTCGCAGCATTCTGGCAGGTGATTCTCTAGCGCATGTCAAGCATTGAGCTTAATCAAGACGTTCATTGCATCTACCAGACCTTCAAGAGCCGCTGTTTGAACTGATGATACATGATATCTAGCCATGAAAGCAAGAACTCTCTTCGTGTTCAAAAAGACAGTCAGATACGTGCGAATCCGCATGTCGTCTGCCAGTGACGTAAACCGCAGATTGTTGACGTTGCCATGGTTGGTCCGTGCACTACGCGATAGATTACGTGTCTGCCCCGGAGCCGTGAGGCTCGAGCACGCCTTCCAGGCTCCCCGTACCACCATCACCACACATCTCACCCCTCAATCCATCAAAAAAATGCGCACCACAACGTTCCTCGCCGTGCTGCCCGCCCTCGCGGTGGCACAAGACCAAGTACCCCTCGCCGATAAGCTCAAGGGCTGGTTCAGCGCCGCTACAGCCCTGATCCCCACTGCCGTCCCGTCCATCATCCCCGCTGCGAGCGATGCAACGCACAACGCAGCATCAAAGGCCGCGTCCGCCGTTGTGCATCCTATCAACCTGACAAACTGGAAGGATACGCTGCAGCCGGGTGCTGTGTCGTCGGAATGGGTTGTGTTTGTGACGGGCTCGAATAAGACGTGTTTTGGACACTGCACCGACGTGGAGGATGCCTGGAATGTGGGTACTCCCTTTTCGGGGCCAGGGAATGAATACTGATATTCCAGAAATCGGTCGCTGGTCTCGCAACCACGGCCTATGCGCCGTCTTTCGCTGTCCTCGACTGCGAAGAACAGACTGTGCTATGTAATGCTTGGGCCGCGGCCCCGCCTTCCCTCTACCACTTCACGCTCCCCGCTGCCGGCTCGAAGGGAGTGCCCACGCGCTACGTGCAGTTCTTCGGCAACGAGACGACGGCCGATGTGACCGCGCTGATCAAGGGCGGCATCAAGGAGAAGCCAACTTACGAAGGCGTGTGGCAGCCGTTTGACGGTCTCCTGGCGCAGTACGGACTGTCCGTGCCCGTTGGATATGCCGTGTGGGCGATGGGGAAGATGCCGTCGTGGCTCCCCATGATTCTCATCTCTTTCTTCAGCCGGTCGTTCATGTGAGTTTGGCTTCAAAATTTTCGTTGTGGAGTAGATGCTAACCCCTGTAGGAGCCGCCGTACTCAGCGGCCTGCTGCCGCGGCACCGGCAGCGGCACCGGCCGCGCAGTAGACAAGACAAAATTCGACTTTACTTTCGTTTCATGGCTCTCGGGCATTCGGTTGCATTTTAGCTATACCCTCGGGCGGCGGTCCTTTCAATACCGCTTGCGCTCTTTGATGATTTTGCTGGATGCTTGGCGGGGGATCATGGTCTTCTGGAGTCTCGGTCTGGAGCTGGTGGATGTTGAGGCTGGCGGCGGGGGGTTATAGGGTAGTAGGCACATATAGTATGTAGTAATTCTGATCAATACTGCTTGATGGGATGCGTGTAGATGAAGACTGCGTCGACACGATGGCACACTGGCAACAGGACGTTCAGGGCTATACACTGGCCTGGTTGGAACATGAATCCATTTCTCGGCTTCTACCGCCGCACCTCCTTTGAGGATGAAGCTACCCTTCACTCAGTAAACCCGCCTAGCCCACCCAACTCCTTTCTCCTAGAAAAACAGACGACTTTTTGGTATCTCCGATAGAGAATTGCAGCACACGACCGAAGCACATCGCCCGAACCCTTTCAAACCGAGATCATATCTGAGTGGCCACCATGCCCTTGAGAAGTGCGGGAGGGCGTTTCCGATACCGGCGGATTGGCCATGGTGTCAAACTTCAGGCAACGGCACATCCACTGGCCAGGCAAGTGCTCCCCCTTTTCGAGGCCCAGGTACGAGGACTCATATTTACTTTGCTTCAAGTACAGCAATCTCTCCACGCCTTGCCCTAAGCCACCGTGCCTTGGATTCCGGATTCGTGACATCCTATGGGACGAAGACTTCGAATACATGGTGGAGGATTCCTGGGGGATGGATGCTTCGTGGGCTGATTCGTGGGCTGATTCGTGGGCTGATTCGGGGGTCGATTCGCACACGGCCTGGCCGCTGGGCTGTGGAGCTTGGGGAGGCTGTTGAGTCTGTTAGGTTTGTGGAGGTTGTTGAATATGAGCTGGAGAAGCATGGTCATTCGTGTATCTAGGTCGGAGACAGCGAGAGAGGTGCCCTGCCAGCGATTGTATGGCTGCTAGAAGCATGATTCGAGGGACAGTCCGCTGATGTCTTGAGCTCGATGGGTGGTTTATGAGAATCTTCAATGTGCTGGCCAAAGGAGAAGCAGC